GCCTATGTACATGGACAGCATGTTATGTGGCGGCCGTGATTTATACGTTGCCATTCCGATCGATACCGCCTTTTCTCAAATTATGACGGATACAGCTTTACTATAAGTAAGCAAACTGTGGTTAAAATATGCGAGTCAGAGATAAAATTTTATTTTTATGTACACATATGGGTATATTTTTGATATCAAACCTTGTTACCTATTACCTGTTATTAACAACTGGTAAAATTATAAAAATGGTTTGCTATTCCACATCAATTGGTAACGAGTTTAACTCAACTAATACAGACATGATAAGTTGATGTAAAAAAAAAACAGAACTTAATAAATTGTTAATTTTCTAAAAAAATAATGGAGGTGTTTCTTTACATGCATCAAATAAAGAAAATTATCTAATTTTTTCAGTAAATTCAAACAAATTAAAACAAACAAGTACAACAAATTCTCGAACTATACCTTGGATAATGAATTTAAAGAGCACATACCGTCTCATACAATATTAATTAATAGATTTAACGGTACCTATCTAGATTTTAATTGACATTTATGCATGAACTCTTGCGTATGTATCTTGTCATGACCTTTGTAAAATAAAAGTACTTACTACTTTAAAAAATCTGCTTAGTTTAAGTTCATTGAAAGTATTTGAAGTTAAGTAACTTATTTCCTGTGTTATTAAATGAGAGCATAAAAATGTATGCAGGCGTTTGTCAACGTAGACCCTTACAAATTTATAATATAAATATATAATATTTAAATATTCACTATTATATTAAAGTTATACAGTTTCTTATTTTTAATGTTCCTTTTTAATAATGAGTAGTACAATAAGAAGCTTTTCCCTAACATAATAATTACCTGGTAATAATAATCAAGTTATACAACAGTACACTAGCTTAAATTTAGTTATTATATTATGTATATAAAATAACAACTAGGTACTAATAATACCAATCATATCACTTTCCGTTCATAATTTGATTAAATTCATTCATACGTCAGTATTTTAAAAGTAATTTAATAAAGTTATAAATTACAGTAGATATACAGGTAAACAGTCGTATGAATAACACACAATAGGTACAGATTAAATTCCATTCACGAGAGATAAAAAAATATTCATAACTTCCGGAGGCTATTACACTTTGAATGAATAAAATCGCGCGCAATTTCGTTTGTCTGCCGACGACTTTACGTATATGTGGTCAGTTTTATACTGACGTTTGCATTTCCAGATTACCCGATAGCGCGTGTGACCGTGAAAATAAACGGATGTAAAAAAATTAAATAAATCAAAATGATCTGAAATTATTTTTATATAATATTTTCGTATCGAGGGGTCGGGCCGGGTGACGTGATGCAGTTTTTGCAAACCGCGACCAGAGACTATACCGGTTTTTGGACTTCAACCTTTTTCATGGTAAGCTGGTTTTTGTGCAAGAGCCTTATAACACTATCGAATATTTTTCAATATAATATAGGGATGTCTAGAATAAAACTGTCAATAAACTATTTTTCGCGACTTCGTCCGCTAATTTAAAGACAAAATTATTACCTATACCATATTAGTATGGATTAAGTCAATTTCATTACCTTCAAGATACATAATTTCTTTTTCAGGTATTTAAACGAAATGATAAAGAAGATGACTCCCGTCTGATTGTAAGTGACTACCGTCACTTATGTGCTTGAACAGCACCACGACATGACGTCACCATTTGAGTACAGGAATCCTCATGTTTCCGCTTCCGTACCATGTAATCTCGCTGTAATATCTCCTTCAAACCAAAACACACTTAACAATGCTAGCTGCTGAAATATATGAGATTAAGACGTCTATGTCAGACGACTTTGTACAAGTCCTATAATGCATAAACATATAATTCTGTTACCCTAGTAACTAACTCAATAATATTTGTTGAACCTGTTACGTATGTAATAATATATTTTATTTATTGTTTTGATTCAGATAAAAGAGAATGATGTAATCTGACCTTAATAACAACCAGACAGCAAGTCTCATGTCGCAATGCTTTTTTGGTTTATCCTAGTATTTTTAACTGAATATGAATGATATTTCAATTAGAGAACAGATAAACCTTATGGCCCCTATATCTGTTAATAACAACACAACATACCGTACGTATCATACACGATGGGTATCCCAGATGGAAAAGTTAGAGGTATTGTCATTTGTCAATGTCATGGTACACCCAACATTTTACGTCCACATTTCACTGGGCATATTTGAATTGAACGTGGCATTGGCTTCACATTAATTTTTGGTTCTCTTATCGCTGTTTTCTTCACAGGAGAGTCAGTCAGAGGTAGTACACACAAAGTTTTTTTTGGAGTCGTCCAGATTTGAACTCACGACATTTTGCGTGAAAGGCGGGGTAGTCAACCATTAGTAGGTACACGACAGTCGCCGTCTTCCAAATAATATTGCATTTTATTTATTTTTTATTATTGGGATTATGTGATTATCTCATAATACTACAATCAAAATAACTAGGTACAGGAATGAAAGCGGCTGATTTTATATTAATTAAATAATTATCATTATTTACACTACCTTATCACTTTAATCTGTAATCCATAACTTGACTTTTTATCCGGTAGTTGCGTGTAAGGCTGTAGCAAAAGTATTTCAATGTTAAAACCATTGAAATAGTTTTGCGCTTATTTGCAACGTATTTTAATTATTAGGTACTATGGATATTCTATAGTAATATATAATAATATTATAAATGCTAATGATTGTGTGTTTGTTTATCTATCTGTCTGTTACCTTTTATGACAAATGAACGGTTTTGACAATAGATTATGTTACAGGAAGTAGCCTATCCAGACGTGGCTGGTAATACGTAAATAGTTTTAGGTAAGATTAGAGATATTTAAACTTAAGAAAACTATAGGCCTTACAAACAAGAATCTATAAGATCCATATCCCTTCTTAAATTCCAATTAAAGGATAATTACTCAATAGTAAAGATCAATATCTTTATTCATTCATTTATAAGAGCCACGCTCTCGTCGGTGGAGATCTTGTCATTTTCCACAATTTTCCAACTCTTTAGTTGTCGATACGACAGGACCCCAACTTTTATCTTAATCTGCTTGATATAGCTATATGTATATTGATATTAACCGCCCTAAAAACTTTATTATAGGAAAGATAAATTTGGACTTCCATAAATACCGTCTCACTCATTAATTATATAATTCTTATATGTAGATTGGAATTTACAGGCACATTGTTTCATTGTAAATGCACTCCGATTAATTTCCCGTCCAAATCAAACAGGGATCGAAATTACGACGGCCCTTAGTGGTGCCTCCAGATTAAAGTCGTATCCATCAGGCTGGAGTTGGCCTTTAGCCGCTCCAAAAGTCTTTCCGCAGGTTTGTGTTTGAGTGCCATCTGCAGTCACACCCTATCGTCCGGTGAAGCTGTGAAGGCCAGCTGCGGCGCCTGCAGCCAACAGCATTAAAGTAGTCCGGAAAAAATCATTGTAAATTCAAATTCATAAATCTAAGTCGCAATATATTCTGTTCTAATATTCTTTTCGTATTCTATCATAACATTTTTTTGACCAATCATGAACCTGTTATTTATATCACTATAGGTTTTTGCCGTAAGAAACAAATGAATCATCGTTTGTGATACAGCATAAAATCAAGTGAGGTGTGATTAGACAAATAAGTAGGTACCTATGTATATACTTCGAAAACAAGAATATAATTGTTGAAGAGTACATAGAAGGTAATGATAATGATATATCCTTCCATAGAATCAATAGCCTTGAACGTAGTGCCTAGGTAAATAATGACCGTAGTCGCAATATATATTCAAACTACTTAAAGAAAGGAGCTTCTTAATTTGACTGGATTTTTTTGTGTATTGCCTTAGAACTTTTATCAATATACATATAAATATATAAATTATCAAAATCAGTCCTATTTTCATGATTCTTTATGGTTATTTATGAAAGTTTGTGGTTATGGTATTATCCCGTGTAAATTTGATCAAGATCTGATTATTTGATGTTTTTGAAGTTTTGAGTTATATTTAATAATGTTATTTAAGTCAGATTTGTCGTGGCCTGTTACGTGTATAATTATTATTTTAATGAATATTATACAGGGAATAAGATTGGTACCAATGGAGATTACTGACCTCATTACTAGTAATTAGTTCGACCTCCACTTGGTCTCCCCCTAGAAACTATCGCGATTAATTCGCGGTGAATTTGTCACGGGTTAACTGACCTGACCTCGTGCTCATCCTATCATTTTCCACTAGTGCACCGCCTGCATATAACGTTAGCACAGAGTATTCCATTATTATCATTTAAAAAAGAAATGTGAATATAGAGGTTTAAGTAAGTGAACTTATATTTTCTACAATTATTTAACATTGTAATATATAGGCTAATAAAATAACAATTAGCATTCGACAGCTTATCGCCTGTAGAAGAAATTTTAAACAAGAGGTAAATGTCTACAATCCAACAGGGCGGGTAAAATAATCCGTTGCGTTGGAAAGCCTACCTAGCAAAGGCACAAACTATACTGGAACTACTAATATGGTAATTCATTTATATAGTATAGAGCCATCTATTGAAAAATTATGGAATTAAATCGTTGCTATTTTCTTGCTTTACCTGCTAAGTTTTAGTATTATTTATTAAGAATAGATTAAAATATATATTTGCATATGTAAATAAAATATTTTAAATCAGCACTGCGAAGAAAAGTCTATATGCTTTACTAGAATGCTATATGTAGTATATTTTCCATTCTAGACAAGTTTTTCGTTAATATTTAATAGTTGTTACAGATATCACTAGATGGCGCTTTTAGTATTTAGATGGAATGTACATATTTTAATGTCCCTAATTCTTAATATCTGTATGTATAGAGTGACATAAACATAATGCCGTCTTACTATATGGAGGCAGAGTTTAAACAAAGATTTATCATGAAACTGGACATACCCTCTACAGCAGCTGCTCGTGGTAGCATCGCGAGCATCAGTCACTGACATACTTCGAATAGTCATTTTTAACTATCTTTTATATTTCCTGTAACAATAAAAAAATCAGATTAGTGAGATTAAATAAAAAAAATTCATTAAATCAGGTCATTTAGGTTATAGTAAAACTATCTTGTAGACGCGGATTTATAATCATAAAGCTGTACAAAGCATGAAAACATTTTATGAAATAAATCTACACATATAAATAAAATTGGAGTGTCTGTTTGTAATATTGAAATAACCGTTTTTTACTACATGCATATGAATATAAATACAATACATACCAAATAACGTTTTTTTTACTAAAATAGGATAAGTTATGTTATTAAGCTGTTACTAACAAAATGGATCATGTTGTCTGAAATAAAATTATTATTATTATTATTATAATATATGTCTAAATAAATTTTATTATATTTTATTGCATATAAATCTTCTAATAAATAAATTTCTTTTGTGACAATGTCTGTAACAAAGTTCCTCCGAAACTGTTTGACCGATTCTTATGATAGTTTGTCTTTAATACCCCAAGTAATAAGGGTGGTTCACCCCCTAATAGTATTAATATTTATTGGTAACTTTTTTATTTTATTTTATATAATTCAATCAAATCAAAGTAATATCTACAGCCCTAAATTTTCACCCTTCTACCATCAACCTTAATAGAGATATTAATATTTTAATATATATGGCAAAGCTACGTTTGCCGGGTGAGCTAGTATTTTATAAAAAATATTTATAAAAATATATAATACACATATACACATACACAATTTTCCTGAAACCGGATAAACTTGAATTAAGCAAGTATATTCCGGGAAGAATAAAACAAAACCACAATAATGCTGGTATTGTTGATTCAAGTTACTGTGTATGACAAGATTTAGCAATAAAACGATAAATTACCAAGAAAAGAAACAACTGTTTATATTGACTGCCAAGTACGAGGTAAATCTATACTAATATTATTAAAGATGTAAAGTTTTTCAGTTTCTGAGGTTGTAAAAGATAAAAATTGAATATACTGAACTAATTTTGAAAATTATTTTGGTGTTGCAATAGCCAATTTGTCGAGAAAGGCTATAATAGGCTTACGATCGAAAAGAGCGGAGCTGCAATGAAAATTCTCAGATTTTTAATTGCATTGTCACGCATAAGAAGTTGTGCAGGTCAGCTATTACACAATATACGTACTTAAATATAAATGTACAGCTTGCGTTTCGAGAATACGACGTGCATTTTTGAAAAGCAAACTAAACATCTAATTTTGACGAACAACAAAGAAGTGGTCAATTGATGTAATTTAAATATACTTATAAGTAGGGTTTACTTTGTGTGCATATTATGCGACATGTTTTACAATTTATACACCATTAAAGTTTTTATATTTCGTTCCGTCTGATGTATTTTTTATGGAATATACTTTTTAAATAATAATAATAATAATCTCAGGACAATTCACACAGTGACATCTAGACCCAAGTTAAGCTACCTAAAGCTTATGTTATGGGTACTAGATTACTGATATAAATACATAGATAATTTTTTTTTTCGTAAATACATACATATTATACATAGGAAATACCCAGACCGATACAAACAATCATACTCATGAATACAAATGTTTGTGCCGTGCGAGGAATCGAACCCGCGACCATCGGACGTAAAGCGGTGTGCTAGACCGCTAGACCACCGAGGTCGTAAATAACTATACATACATATATACATTAAATTTTAACTTGGTTATCGGAATAACAATAGCTTTAACTTTTTAGTTGTGAACCGATTAGAATGAAACAAACGCTATATGCTACGGGAAACTTGCTACAATAGATCAATAAAAAACGTATATTATATTATATTTATACAAATTAACCGTTTTTCAGATTAGGTTTATACAACGTGCACACAAATAACAAAAGAAAAAACCTAAAAACTTCTTTCTTCATCTCGGTCGCTTAAGTAAAATATGTACTTAGTAATTAAAAAAAAATCAGACATACATACACGAGAATTTTATATATAAGAGATATATCTCTTCTTATATATAAAATTCTCGTGTCACAATGTTAGTTACCATACTGCTCCGAAACGGCTTGACCGATTTTTATGAAATTTTATTTATTCAGCATATTCAGTAGGTTGAGAATCTGCTACTATCTATTTTCATACCCCTAAGTAATAAGGGTTGTTCACCCCTACCCATTTTTTTGGATTAAAATTACATACAACCCTAAATTTTCACCCTTATCTCACCCACCCTTATTTTTTAATAGAGATTTTACTTTATATGGCAAAACAACGTTTTCGGGATTAGCTAGTAGATATTTATACTAAAATAAATATCGTAAGATATATATATATGTGTAGTATGTAGATAATATAATACATTATGGTCAATGATCCAAGTAATGGTCCCTAACGGTTCGTTCTTGGCAGGAAATATTCAATTGGTCATTTAATAAGAATATGCTGAATGAACAAGTGAATGCTCTCTTTATCTTTCATTGGATATACTTATCGTGTTCATATTTGAATGTTGTAGTAAATATGTAGGTAATTGAAGATTAAATTGTACAAATTAATAACCATTAAAATGTATTGATAACGTTATCGACTAACTATACACACATTTACAAAACGCACAAACAACCAAACACATATAATCCTTCTCTCAATGTCAAATTAATAATAATAATTCAGAATATATCAAACAGTGCCATCTAGTCCCGAACTAAGCAAGATTATTATATGTATACCTATACTGTAATACTTGAACAATTGAAAAAAATCTTTAAATATATAGCAAACACTTAAATTAGAGAAGACTTAGACTTAGAATATTATAAACATAAATGTTTGAGTCGTGCAAGAATCAAACCTGCTACCATCGGAAGTAATGCGATGTGTTGAACTAATAGATCACCGACTCTATCTAATTATACATGTGATACAAATATTTAAATAATATGTTTGTTAGAAACGAACAAGTGATTCCTAATAAGGAAGGTTTTTTCCTCAATCAGAAAACCTGTATTAGGTTAGGTACAGTCCGCTTGATAATGATATGACGACCTCGGTGGTCTAGCAGTTTAGCACACTGCTTTACGTCCAATGGTCGTGGGTTCCATTCCTCTCACGGTACAAACATTTGTATTCATGAGTGTGATTATTTGTATTGGTCTGGATGTTTTGTTATATTAAGTATGTATTTAGAAAAAAGTATATATGTATTTATATAAATTGTGGAGTAACCATAACACAAGCTATGCTTAGCTAGGAACTAGATGGTGCTGTGTGAATTATCCTGAAATATGTAACTAAGGTTGCCAATACTTATGTGGACAATAAAAGAATTCGTGAGTAAAGTTTAAAAGTTACTGTCATTTAACAGTCACTACGTCGTATTTTACTAAAATATTTCTACTACCCTAGGTTACCTTAATAATTAGTACTAGCACAGATAACATAATAACTAGTAATAATTAGTATCTCTGTACTAATTGTTTTATAATTTTATTTTCTACTAAAGAATTTAGTTATTGTATTAGCTTAACTATTTTTTTATATAATTTAAGTTGTTACTTATGTAGTTAATCACTTTGGACGATTTCAACCATAAGTATTGTTATCAATATGACTATGACAGTGGCAGTAAAATTAAATATTAATCTGTAACTTCAGATGATTTCATTTTCTATTAATAACAATAATAATAAGCTTTTTATGAGGTTCTAAAAAAAGTACAAAAAGGGGGTCTCATTGATTAAAACAATGTCTAATATGTTTTATATACATTATCTTATATTTATATAAAATTTTCGTGTCACAACGTTAGTTACAATACTCTTCCTGCTTGATTTTATAGGCATATTCAGTAGGTCTGAGAAAGTAACAATCTACAATCTATTTTTCATAACTCTAAGATAAGGGTTGTCCACAATTAATATTTTGATATTTTACTTAATTTTTTTGAACAATTTATTTTTTCATACCCCTAAGTACCAACGGTGGTCGACCCCTTATATATTAATTTATTTTTCGGACATTTTTTTTATTTATTTATAATGTGGCATGAAAAATACTATGCAACCCTAAATTTTCACCCTTCTATCACCAACCCCAATTTTTTTAATAGCGATTTAAATTCTATGTAAAGTTGTTTTACAACTTTTCTTACTTGAGTTACTAAAAATATTTTTACGTTACTACTTTAAATATTATTAGTATCTTAGTATATTTTTATTACATGCACGTTATATTTAGGCTTTGAGGTAATGTCACTGAGGTTTTTCCTATAACTCTATTACGTTCCGTAGTTTCCTCGTTTACCTTGCGATGCGATCAGTTTCGTATTTCTGACCTTGGATTTTGCGCAGTAAAAAAGTTACTATGATCATCAGTATATATTAAAAAATATAAAATGTCTATGGCACAATTGTCAAAGACATTTTTTGCTATTTAGTTGTCTAGCTAATCAAAGCGTCTTATTTTGTCGTTGATTATATTTAAGTACCATTTGAAAGTTTATATTTAATTGAAGTGAGCCTACTGTTATTCAAATTGATGCAATTAATTATTGTCGCTATCAGGTTCACGCCAAATTTAAGCTGCAATTTTTATTGAGGGTTTGTCGAGGCTCAAAAATCTTTATTCTTATTTTAATATAATTATAAACTATCAAACTTTAAACATAATTTATATTATTTATTTACGAGTTTTTTTTTAATTTATTTTGATAGAAAGGTTTATTTAAAATTCTGTAATGATAGAAATTGTGGAACGAAATCATAATGAAATTATTCCGATTTATTTACATAGCTTTATTTACGCAACTTTAGGCGATAAATTTTAGTTATTATGAATGGCCAATGTAACAATATTTCCTATTTGACAACCTCGGTAGTCTAAATTAAATTTTAAAAACAAAGAATTATTGCACAATAGTTTAACAATATGTAATGATTTTATTTAATAATAAAAAAATAACCATCTGTATTTGTCTCAAATAAAAACTAATACAATAAAAGATCAACGACGACGATAACATTTAAGTTCTAAACTGTCCTCTACTAACAAAGTAAACAAAAAATATTACAATAACTTAACAAGAGTACAAACTAATAAAAATTGAAAATAACAAAATTAAATAAAAATTAAAAATTATTCAGGATTATTTAATAATTGTCATATCATATATACCATGTCCATCAGACATGGACGCGCGTCAAATACTTATTGATAAGTACCTATTTTAAATACTATCAATAATATTGCAAATTTGGAGACATCGTTATCAGTGCACAACTTTATCAGAAACGTCATACGTCGCAAATGTGAATACCGATCCCATTCATATTCATGACAATGTTTTAAGAACATGTTTTTTATTTATAAAAACAAATAATATAGTAGTAATAACACGTGTGTGAAAATAAAAAGTTAAATGTATTTTATAAAGTAAAAAAAGTTGTAGGGATTTTGTAAGGGTCAAACAAAAAGGAAATTGAAATTGTCTAGTCGTTTCTACCTCAACTTCGCCAAAAGATGACTAATGGCTGACATTAAAAAAACTTTGTGTGATATTTTATACTTCTGATAATCTCTAGTAAAGGTGCCGGCGAAAAACCATAATTAATAGGAGACACAATGGTAGGCTTAATTGACGGTATTACGTTAGATTCAATGAAATAGAGTAGTGTATTTGTGAGTTAATATACGTGAAAGAAGTGTTACGGAGTGGTGTAGGGGCGATAGCGTGGCAGATTTCCGTAGTCAGTATTTATTATGAATTATGGTACATAATTTTATATTTAATTATTTTTTTATAAAGGTAATAATTGTACTATATTTAACTATTAATTTAAATAGAAACCTAATTCGCGCTACACATTTAATTTGTCTGTTCCCGCCATTTTTCAATACAGACTCCGTAAATGCACAGAGTAGGTACATTATAAATAGCCACTACAAATGTTCTAGATAAATTAGACCATATACTAATACCAATTAGACCAATAATATGGCAACTTAATATTATAACAATTTTGCCTAATATTCTTATAATATTAAGTTGCCTGTAATAAAAATACCATTGTTATTATTATGTTAATTTATAAATGCTTGTACTGTAATGTATTTTATGTAAGGAGATGAAGGCTTTGTTAGCAATGGAGACTAGTGCTAGGAATGCACTATATCAGTTAGATCGAGTTCTCCTGGAAATAATCATGTTTAAATGCAGGCGAAATTGTTAACTGGTTAACTGAGTTGACCTCCTGATCTTGTCATCTTTCATTGGTGCCCCGCAACCGTATACCATTAGCGCAGGCAGGTGCACCACTCCATTATCATACACAGAATTAATTTGTAAGAGTACAAATAATTCACAGTGTCTTGTACCTATTTAATATTAGTAATTAAAAGCAACAACTCCCTACTTGTATATTAGACAATATATATGGGTTTGCTAAAAATATGTGCTAATTTACAAACAATACAGGTGTCTATCTATATGTAAATATATAATGCACGTTTAGGTACACAAGATTTCACAGTCATCTAGACCAGTACTTCTCAAAGTATGGGCTGTGACGCTTTATTTTTTTCGAAGTGGGGCAAAAATTTAAAAATGGCGCCACCTTAACACTGACCGCCTTCCCCCTTCGTCCAACATTTTTACAATATACATTATAACGTACAATTACTACTACTGATAATTATTGTGGCTTTTTTAACAGCTATATAGGAGGGGAGGATCATACCGTATTCATACACTAAAAATATCTTAGTAACAAAACAGAAAGGTCATTTTGGCATCGTCGTAAATCGATGCAAAAAAGTTGTGGACGATAAGCTGTTGGTGTGAGAACTCAGAACTAAGAACGCATGTGTATTGTGTAAATTGTTTTTAACTCACATCAAAAACAGCTAAGTCTTTTGATCACACGCGGTTTGTTCAAATTGTTTTTTTGGTGGCCTCAATGATCTAACAGTTTAGCCAACCGCCTTTTTTCTGATGGACGCGAGTATGATGTCTATGCATATTAAGGATAGTATTAAAAGAAAATATCCATGAATTTATACCAGTTGTCCTGTAACGATAAAACAAGCCCTGCTTGGGTTGGGACTAGATGGCGCTGTGTGAGTTCTTCTAAGATTTTATGATAATACTCCACTGTTTATTTTGTATGCATTTTCGATTTCGATTTCAGATTCTTTAAACCAATGTGTTGTAGCACCAATTGTTTACATTTTCTTATGAAAATAAACATTCCAACTATTTTTTTAACACTATAAAGTTATATGAAATCTAATAGTATTTATATAACATTTATTTTGAATTAGATGACTTACGCAACTTTGTCTGCGTCAAATTGTACCACATTTACCTTTTTTTATTAATGCTCCGCTCCTATTACTCTTAGCGTGATTGCTATATGTCCCTATAATTCTATAAAAACCGAGTATCTAACACTGAAATAATATTTCATTTTGAATCTTAAACCTAGGTAGGTTTAAGATTCGAAATGAACTATAATTACTTAAAATCCTACTATATAATATTAGTATGTATATTTCATATATATAACTCCAGTTTGTAATTATGTATTTGTGTATTACACACAACCATATTTCATAGTTTCAATTACAATTTGTATGTGTATAACTCATTTACTCATTATTAAGTTTTCCGATCATATATGTAATATATGATCGGAAAACTGTCAGTTACAAAATTGATTTCAAACGAAAATTGTCTGTAACAGAGTTACAAAATTCAGCCTCTGATTTGATATACTTAACCTGATTACCCGACCGACGTGTTTGTATGGGTACGTTAATATAGCGTTAATTGCGTGAAATGACTATTAAAGTCGGTTGTGTATACATATATTGAATTAGAATAATATCCTTTAATTATTCCACCTATACTGTTAAAAAAGAAACAAAAACAAATTGATTGATTTCTAAGAATTTGTGCTAGAAAAAGATGACTGCAATCTTATTTTAGTATTTCTATTAAAAAAGAATCATTACAATTGGTTCATAACTTGCGAAGATCTTTACACACGTTACATTTATTTATAGAATACATAATCTCGACACATAAGATACTTAAATTACAAAAAATACAGTAGAACTCCACATTTTCAAAGTTTGTTGAATTAGCATAACAGATATGTGTATATATTTGAAAATTACTTAGCCAAATTAATTTATGATATTAATTTATTTTATATTTACCTGGTATACTTTATTATAACCTAAAAACTACGCCACTTGGACCCGGCTTAATACACATCAGTTACTATTATTTCTACAGTTTTTATTTACTGATACACTGTTATATGTAATATAGAATACTTAGGGTTATTTTAAACTGTAAGAACTACCGTAGATATGAGAATATAATTGAAACACGATAGCAACACAAGCACTACAACGCCGGTATTGTCTACTAAATCACAACTTTCACTTCAACCATGATTCATTCCCGCAATCTCATTTCAATACGCCTGAATAAGATTGCAAAATTACTATTCAACATCCCACACAATAGATATTAACACTATCATTCAGCTAAACAACTATAATACTGCACTTTTGAATTATTCGATAAACTGGTTTTGTGGAATGACCGACGAGTTGCGCGCGCGCAGCGGAGTGCGTATAATGAGACGGAACCGCCAAGGGAGTTCGTAGCCATGGAACTACTTTTTATGCTCTCATCCTTTTAGGGTTCCGTGAAACAGGTGTGGATTAAAAGAGTCCGAGTAAACTTGTTTCTCGGGCTCTCTATTAAAATGTGGGCAATAGATGACTAGACTGTATACGGAAGATGAATCAAAAAGGAACCATGATAAATACATACAATATATGTAATTACAGATACAGATCGAAAGAACAGTAAAGGGTGATAATGGGAGACATTAAAAATTAATAGAAGAGGAAAATAATGTATAAGGATTTGTTGACTAAAACTGGTTAACTAACGAAGATGTTTTAATATTAAAATGTAATTACTATTTATTTATTATATATTATTTAAGCTATTAACTTGGGTAGTGCTAAAATTATTTAAAGTCCAAGACAAAATCATAAAAAAATTATATGATATATAATTATATATATATATATATAATGTTTTTTTGTCACTATTCTCAACATTTAGTGCGACTAGCTAATAACTAGCAAGAAACTCAATGGTCACATTTTTTTAAATCTTGTTTTTGATGTTGGTTTCCAAATACGAAAATATTTGGTGTTTTCTTGAAGAAGACTTAAGCTAATATATGTACGTTTCATTAATTTTTACATCGTTTCTCCGACAGACGCCTGGAAGAATACTTTATATGAAGAGGTAAACTTTTGCGTATGATCGTGGCCTTTCTTTTAATACTACATATACTATCCACACATTCACAGGTGGCATAACTAAGCAGAGCACGCAAAATTGTTAGGGAGTTTGCACAGGAATTCAGCGACTTATAAAATAAAGACGGTAAAAAATAATCAAAAATTAATTGAAATTACGTACAATATTCTAGTCTCTGGAACGGTAACGCAATAGGGCCAGCAGAGGCGTCATATGATGACGCGATTTCTGTAGTACTGTTCATGTATATTGACGATAATTACCACTTACCATCAGGCGTGCTAGCTTCTTTGTCATTCCAGTTCTATAAAAAAATCTCTTTACTTAAAATGAATCCATCTACACCCTGCAAACTAATTCAAGAATCTGTTTCAGATACATATTGCTCATACACCTAAGAGACATTAAGTTTATTTCTTTGCTAGTCGGGTAAGAAAAACTAGATTCGAGTAGACCGAGTCTTGATTGTAGTCTCGGTTTAGTCGCCGAACAGTTAACAGTAGGCTTCCAAGCTATATCCGAACTCTATTCAATGTCTGATGATTCCTCGTTCTTGGACGAAACATGTGACGCAATACGTGTAGATTCGATAACGATCGGAATTTGATCACCATTAGAGAAGGTCGTAACGGTAATCAAGTTTCCACATTGAATATTTGTGATCTCACACTTGTTTATTGTAGAAAAATTAAACAAAATAATACAAATCCATTAAGTAATACAATTATCATTGAGAACCTTGTTATTTGAAGTCAGTTGCAAACGGTGTATTGTTTTCAACTGTGGCTATTGAATATTTACGCTTGACTCGCATTTGTTTGGCCTCAACTAGTATTGTTCTGTTTTGTGAAGAGCAGTCAAAGTACATTGCCATCAGAGATTAGTTCGTAGAATATTTACCAGCATCAAATAAAACCAGTTTAATTATGAACACACTGAGAGCCGAATGTGGTGGCTTTCGGTTCTCATAATCCGAATAGTTTATTTAGTATCATGTAGGTAGTGACAAAATTTTGTACAACTAAGTGAATGGGTACGTATTTTAGATTTAAATACTCGTAAATCTCTCTTTTGGACATTTATCCATTACAACTTTGTTTCTTGAATTCTCAATATATATACAAATTTTGTTGGTTACTTACGAGTGAGTAATATTTGGGAGTTTAGTTGAAGATTTAGGTGCCCACTGAGTCATAGAATTTCAGTAATGCTTTATTTATGTAGCAAAACTGCACCAAAACAAACTTTTCGAAAGCACCACTCGTCGGTACACAGTTTTCATTAATATTGTAAACATTTTCGACATAAACTTTATGCTTCATTTTATTCTTGGGCATAATAGTTGGCGACTCTAAGCTCTCAAGTTAGTTTAAGCTTAGTTCCAGCTCTCCTACGAACTAATTAATTCTTGTAGTTCATTAGCACCGGTCTTCAGTTATCGAAAATAGTATAGCCATCGTCTAGGCCTATAAATGTTTTTATAAATTATATAAACGAGATATTTATCGTGATAATATTATTTAAGAGCTATTGAAATAATTGTTTTTACTATTACATCAGCTACCTGCCAAAAAAATGTTATTTTGGTGTATATACCGTATTTATATACGGTACATACACCAAAATAACATTTTTTACAATTTTTGTCGGTCTCTCTATCTGTCTGTTTGTTCCGGCTAATCTCTGAAATGGCTGGACCGATTTTGACGGGACTTTTTTGGCAGGTAGCTGATGTAATAAGGAGTAACTTAGGCTATTTTTATTTTAGAAAAATTCTTTATTTTAGAAAAATATAGTTAAATTCCACGCGGACGAAGTCGCGGGAACAGCTAGTAGATACTATAATTAATTTAGACATTCAGTAATATGATTAGAAGTATTTCCAGTATTAAGCACAATACATCTATGTAATAGTTATTTAAATTGAAGAGTTGACAAAAAGATATTGTGGGTGTCGATGACTCGATAGTTTAAAAAATTATTTGCTTAGGTTTAGAATTATTAGCAAATTACCTCATCATTTAATTTATGCTGACGAATTTATAAAATGTATGTGTGACATTGAATTTATGAAGTTGTACACTAGTAACAAGTAATATTACGACACGTGACATAATTAATTTATAATAGTAAAGACAAACTAACCAAAGAATTAAAATTAATATCAAGCAGAAAATACAATCAAAATAAAATAAATTAATAATAGAATACCTATATATAGATACCAGAGAGTAAATTGGTTCCTCTTAATGCAATATTATCTGTTAATATAATAGATCTAATCTCAAAATGGGCGGATGATTCAGTCTATCTTAGTTTATCTGTGACCAATTGGTGAAGTATACTGGAACCAATTAATATTGATTTAGATGGAGAATTTAGGATAGTTACCGTTGGTCACATTCCCCGCCGACTGCTCAACGACTCTCATTAAACAATCTAGTCTGCTATACAACAGACGATGTACCTATATCAATAATGTACCTACCTATAATTCGACTGATCTTGCTTTTCGCCTGAACACCGTCGACAAATTGAATAAGCTCATTCTTTCGTCCTCGGTTTCATCCAGATCCATGATTATTAGCTTATTAACATGAACAAAAAATGAATTAATATTAAAATGATAATAATAATAATAATATTTAAATGATCACTGATTAGGTACCAGAGGAGTAGAAAAATGGTCTAAATTACTTTTCATTAATTTTGTTTTAAACCATGTTTTTCTCTATACTAATATAGAAAGAAAGAAAGAAAGAAAAAACATTAATTGTCAACCATTTTTACATATACATATATACATACACACTTAGAACAATTACAATAATAATTTATCTTATATTATTTCTAAATATGGTTGGCAACATGGCTGTAAGTAATATGTAAGTAAGTATCGATAATGTTAGCGCAGTTTTTTTCGCTTATTATCATTGGCTCGAAGGATGAGAAATACTTCTAGCGGGTGTCTTTTTTATTAACTTACTTTAAGTAGAAGTTTAACAATACATACATGGTATGTGATTAAAAAAGATACAAGATTATTTATTAAAAAACATATTTTGCTAATATTGTTGCTATTATTGGAATTGCCTGTAATTCTGTGTTGTTAGAATTAAACAATAATTAATCGCTTTTATGAAATTATGGAATATAAAATAGTATTAGAGAAAACTTTGTCAAAATCATCTATTTTATGACTATAAAGTAGGCTAGACTTAGACCCATCTCTTATTAACCTATCTCGAAAAAAGCTCGAGATCTCTCAGAATTAAGATCCCGCTGAATCGGTATTGCGTTCTCTAAACTCCATACATTTTCTTAGTTACTCGCTAGATATTATAAACGTACTTAGTAATTACAAATACGCTTACTATTGAACAGTTGTAATATAATCTTTGTTGCGTGATCAATATAATAGCTTCAGTCAAAGACAATTAGTTCAGTGAAGAAGACGGTGTCACAAAAACTATATCACAATATCCTTGAAATCATTTTAAGTCGGCAAAAACTGAAGTCACGTGTGACTATTGTGGGTTTGTTGTGCTAATATGATGACTTGTCATTCTCAATAAAACTACATTTTTTATGACTACTAGGAATGACGTTGTTCGCATTTTCAGTTTGCTTACCCATTCACCTTGCAGTCAGCACTGTACCCACCTGTTGTACTTTTGTATTACAACATAACTTTCCTTATGTAACTAATATGTCTTTGATAGGGGAAAGGGAATTGTTAGTAATGTGGACTATTAACCTCCTTATTAGCAATTTGCCATGTTAGGTTAACAAACACACGGTTCCCCCGGAAACCATCGTGATAAATTTCTGGTGAATTTATCACGATGGGCAAAATGACCTAACCTCATGCATATCTTCAATCATCATCCTCCACTGGTGCCCCGCCAACGTAATCCGTTAACGCAGGCGGATGCATTCCATTATCGTCTATATAAAAAATATGTCTTTGATATCAGTACCATCTTTTTACTAGTGTAATCTATTTTTGACCATTTTTTTATCTGCGTAGGTCTTTTAGTCTCACGTATTTCACTAACAAGGAGCTTGCTTTGTAAGCTGTATTTCAGTTGAATGGTGAGATAAGGTTTTTCTATTCTTTTGGAACAAGATAAGTAGCATGTTATCTTAGTCCTCCGTAATGGTAAGGCTTGATTGGTATTTTGCGATATCCTTAGTATCATAATGTATATAGGCCATTACCATCAGAATGGACCGTCAGCTTGTTTGCCACTCCATTATTCTTTAAATTGTTACCTCCCGGAAATGAATGAAGAGATTTGTAAAATTCTTCAGTCTACGTTTTTAAACATTTTATTCGCAATATTTGTGGACAGATTTCTCGAATGATCATGAAAAATGTGATAGCTCGTCTTCAAGTAATGCATGTCCAATATTCAGAATTCTCGAAACAATAACGCTGGACATTAGTGCCCCGTTGATAGTCTTGTTATTTTTAATTCTACTCGAGTCCATAAAAGGCAGGTGGAGAATTTGTAAGTTGGTCGACTGTGTGAAGTTACCTGAGAATATTAATGAGAAAAAATTTAAATAACTTTATCTTGAACTCGTCTATTTTATACTAAAATAGTGAATGGAGCTATATTACAGTGATATACATATGTAAGGATAGCGATGCATGTCAGTATGTACATACATATTATCAGTACATACATATATTGTATTCAATTGACATAACATTAAAGCACAGTTAAAACTGTTTGGATTAAATTTTTAATTTTTGGAATGTTGTCGTCAAAATAATTTAAGAATTTGTTACACCACCAGTAAGATAAAGTATCAAATTTTTCATTTGCTCATATTTGACATAGATTAGACATTTTTTTTAATTAATTTCGTGTCTTCTTTCATCTTTACTAATAAATAAAATGGCACAATCGTGACACAGAGAAACCTGTCTGCTGGTGTGTATAATGTTCAGGTCAAAAAGGCTGGAGGAATTAAGATAATTTTTCATAGAATATATTAATAAATGTGGTTCAACGTCTAGGTTATAGAAAATCGAGAATTGTACGCCTTCCTTTATGGCGTTTACACAATTGTATAATTAATTTAAATATTACAATAACAGATGGCGCTGTTCCAATGTTTGTTTATTATTGTCGTTTAATTTATAAAATATTATAAAAAGAAGGCATCGCCTAAGCACACGAAGTCTCAGACTCGACTAGCAAAGGTATAAAGGCGAACCAATAATCTCTTGTTTTAAAAATAAATCTTTAGATAATTAGTAGGTGGGTCATCTGTTGCTTTGTAATTAAATACTAGATTTTAATAATAGTAGGAAAATTAAATGTCCTATCTTAAATAGGTACCATACCTTGTTTAAATCCGGAACGATGTTCGAGGTAACAGTATGTGTAACCGATGAATATACCAATGCCCACTGCTGCAATGGTGAGAGCCAATGTGGTAGCAGCAAGGGCCACAAAAGTCACCCATCGTGGTTTACTGTGAAAACACTTTTGTCATATTACCTAATATAGTAAAGCTGAAGTGGCAATGGGCACAATATCACTTGAAAATGACTTACAAGACAACAAAATACATATTGGACAATCACGGAAGAGATACAAAGTTGATAACGGAGTATAACTAGACTTTTAAATCATAAAACAGACTTAAATGATGAAGACTGAAGAACTAAAACAAAATATATATTAAAATAATTTCAAGTTAACCTCTTTATAAATATGAATTGCTTGCCTCGTTCACTTATATTAAGCAATAATTTTGTTTAAGCATAATGTACTACAATCCATCTAATTAGATACAATAAGCATAATATTTAAAGTAAGAAGGATTTCTTTGAGTAAGAAGTAAGTCTAATATTTTCCTTTTTCGTTTAGTTCATGTTACTATCTAATTGAATCTTTTATTATTTGCCTTCCAGTGAAATAACATACACTACGTTTAGAAATTGTAGAGAGTAATGTTTATCACTCGAATTTAGGTTTAATGGCGATGGCAATATATTTTCCTATATCTTAAGCAAAAGTAAAGATTTTATTTTGCGCAAGGAAATGTAGTCATCACAAACAGATTATAATCATTTAATACAGAGATTTTGTAACTGTGTAAAAATCTTTCAATAATAATTTATTCCTTCTTACTCTCTTAGGACATTTGGTATTTTGTCAGTTTCTAAAATAGTGTAGCTTAACATTGTGTAATAATTAGTATATGAGTAATATTATTCACGAATATCTAAAAGAAGAGCATTATTAGATAAATCAGAAAAAATAAAATTGTGTATGACACCAGATCATAGGTCTGACATGTAATTTCTATGTTTACTTTCTTGTCAAAAGTTTTTTCTATTCTTTTAAGTCCTACCAGTTTAAAAACTTAATGACTATTGTACATAAAAATACGAATTTATTTCTGGACATTTATAAAAAATGTTAAAATGTTGGTAAAATTATAATAATATTAGATACTTTTTAGGATAGTTTAGATTTTAGGAAAATAATCGGAACCTATTTACAGTAGTTAAAATATACTCATTTATCTGAGAAAGTTTATTGAAACTTGATGCATTTGCTTATGCGAAATGAAGTTTAGGCAACATCATGTTTAATGTCACATTTTGAGAAAGCTATTTTATAGTTTTATTTTTATTATTTTATTTACATTTTTGTTATATTTTATTATGAATATTTATTAATTTAATCGAAAATGTGTTGCGGAGGCTGTATATGTGGGGGAAGTGGGTGTTCTGCATTGGATATGTGTTTTTCCAATATATTATATGTATTTGAAAGGTTATAACATTACTTTCAGTAATATTTCGCTTTCAAAAATAAAGGTAAATGTAGATTGAGCTTACATGGAATAAAATATTACTAACTTAATAACTAACTTAATCTGTTCTATTTAATACAAGTTTTACTTCATTATTTTAGTATTTTTGTAGGTACAAATAAATATCATCACCTATATATCTATATTTTTCCTTATTTGAGTTTTATTTAAATTGCTATATAAATATTGAACTATTTTAATATCTTTTATTAATGTAAGATCTATCTACCCACCGTTTGTGCAGACGAAGTCTGTGTTCACGAAGAATAACTTTTCTCTGGGGTTTCCTAACTAACTATATAATAGATCTTTGTTAGGGGTAGTGGATTCTCAATAATTGGGACTGCTAAAAAAGCACCATGTCATGTTAATCTCCAGGCGGGGGTTGATCTGACTAAAAATTATCGTGGTTACGTGCTGCTGAATTCACCGCGATGGGGTGTATAGTGTTCACTTATTTGTTATTTATGTCTTCTTGTATGTAAGTTGTTATCGACGTAATATCGGCTCGTTAGCCATAGCTCCACGTCTTTACTCCGCGGCGCTTGCGCAGGGAATCCCTTCCCTCTTGCGCACGGCGGTCCGTGTACGCTCGGCTCGAGACGATAGATAATAAACTACTAGTGTTTCCACATACACTACAGGGTGACTGATTGTACTTCATACTTATTCTATCTTCCTTCACTAGTGCCACGCCATTCTATACCGTATACATTCATAATGTAAAAAAGTATTATATCTATATACAGACTAGCTGCGTGCTGTGCTTTCACAGCAGTGGTCACGTGTATCGTTGTCACACTGCTGGTCATGCTCGGGATGGGCGTCGGCCTCGGATACAACTACTGCTTCGTCCACATCAAAACAAACATTTCTGTACCAGATGGTATACTACCTTTTTTAGAATCTGTTACTAAAAAAGTAAAAAAAATAAATAAAAAGATCTGAGATCTTTTAAAAAAAAAATGGAAATTAATTTAAAGTACGAAGTTCCTTTGTAATTTACTGTAAAGGTAGTCCCAAACTTATATAATTTGTGAAAAAAATAATCAATTTTTATGATTCTTTCATATTATCTTCGAGAAGATAACGGAATATATTTCTGGAATATTCAGGATAGTTTCTTGATGTTCTTTGAAAATAAAAAGTAGTTCATACTTTCATCCTCTTACCATAAAAAATACTGGCGCTAACCGATTAAGAACTTTACCATACTCATAATTGAGTGTTACAATTTATAAGAATAGAGATCTTTCCTGTTATCAATCTGACAATAATGCAATTATTATTCATACAGGACCAGGGAAAGGCGACGACGACTTAAACATTACATCACCTACTCAAATGACTCCCATATCGTCAGCACCAGGGTCTGTACCTGATATAACTAACCCAGATAATGATGCCTCACCCGATTCACTAATTACCACAGCACCTACATTTCTTTTAAGACGTCAAGAATCAAGTAATAGAATAAAAACAACAAAACTATATTTCCTACCAAAAACTACAATTGTAATGCCACTATATACAGATTTAGATTTATTAGGAATAATTAAAAAGTTTAGAGAAGAAAGGAGAAATTTAACAATAGAACTGATATCATTATAGCATAAATACAAGTATAATATTTATTATAAATGCATTAAAATATTTCAGTCTGACAAGGATTGTTTATATTTATTACCTTCTCTCTAATATTAATAATCCCGAACAGATCACAGACTATCTTATCCACAGTGGATAATCTACATTATTACTCGTAAATAATTATCTTACTCCAGTGAAAAATAAGCATATTTTGTTAAATTCATAATAAAATAGTAAATATATTAAGCCCTCCCCGAATTCACATAGAAATGAGAGATAGTGAAGCGAAGCATTACTCTCGTTAGACCATCTTGTAAATTACGTACCAAGTACAAAACAACAGTCTAAATACTTCGAAACTCTACATGCAAAAAAGCTCTGTATATATAAATTTAAATAAAACTATACCATTACTGGCTAACTACTACTACTACTATAACTATTCCTATTATACAATGAGCTCAGCTGCAATATTTTCTGTAGAAACAAACATTCTCTGAATAATTAAGATAACAACAATAGCTGAATAAACTTTAATTGGGTTTTGTTTTACCTGTTGCTTTAACCATACTAATCAATAGTCAAGATTGTTCCTTATTTCCTCCACACAAAATAATGTTCTTATATAACGCTGATGCAATGCAATGCAAACTATTACCACTTATTTTAAAGATTTTAAAGAAAAATTATCACTACAGAAGTGATGATTTTATAGAGATTTCGGAATGTTATAGATGAATAATGACGTCTGTTAATGTATTCTCTAAGGATTCAAGATAATTTCAGGGGTCTCAGAGATTTTGCGAAGAGCATATTACGTAAAAGAGTATTGTTGTTGATTTGCCATGTCATCTTTGCTAGTTTTAACTTTTTGACTTTGACAATCCTTTTAAGTTGTTCATAGGACAGAATAATCATAATATATATATATATATGAATATCTTGCTATTCTTTGGCACTGAACAGTAAAATATTAATTGGAAATAATTTATTGGAATCTATATTGCTAACAGTCAATATGGGAATAGTACTAATAGCTTTGTGACTAACATAATGTATTATTCTGAAAAGTAAGATTCAGCCGAAAATAATATTCGAAATATTGTTTTTTATATATCTTTTATGATTAAATGACTTTACACAAAAAATCGTGATTCATTTTGAAGTTCTTGATACTTCTACTCTCTCTACTCATGTCCTACAATCCACATCAAAGATGTGTGTATTGCAAGCATCGCTTTGGTTTTGTATAGTTTAGTTATTTTATATAGTTTGTTTGTTACATTATAACAATATATATCTTTATTTATTTATTGTATATTTTAAAACACATCGATATGGTAAGTCAATTTTCCATGTATATGTATGGATACTCTTATTGGAATAGTAAACAAGCTGACAACCCAATTTATACGTTTTTAAAACAGTATTGCTAACAGTTGGATACTCTTAACGCGTATTACTCGTAATATTACTATACGTATATTGCAATTTCTCTAAAGTTCGATTAATTACAGCACCTTTTAAATCAGAACACAACATGCAAGAAATCCGCTTAGCCGCTAAACCTGTGAAGCAAAGGTATTATGTATGAAGTTTCTCTATGCTTCAGTTACGGCTTGAGCGTTATTTTATGTAATTAAGCTTACATGGATTTCACATGACGTTAAAAAGCAATTGCATTTACTAATTTCCGTTGCAAATAGGATAATGCATACGTAAATAATATGTTAAACTCTTTAATTGAAAATGAAATGAATGAACTGATATCTCTTTTTCGTTCTAATCTCACATTGTAAAAAGCTGCAGGGGATAGCTTACATTAATATTAGTATCAAACAAGAAATCTACGAACAAAAACCCTACACAAGCTGGCGGTTGCAATGAAACTGAGAAGGCTAATATTTTTAATCTTGATTAGTACAATTAAGTATCATGCTAAATTATTTTCTCTTCCAGTTTGCAGTTCCTGGTCGCTTCAGATATCCTTTACGACCTTCTTATTACACACGCCCAAAATATCCAAATTATTATAACAGACCTCGCTCCGCTATCGAAAATGATATACCTCGTTGATATTTTCGAAAAAAGAGCTGTGAAACAAGATAACTCTGAACCATATACTACTTTTTCCAATACGAAAGTTACTCCAACTATTATAAAATCTAAATCGCCTGATAAAAATATCTCTAATCTTACAATTTCAGTTACATTAAATGAAATGGTTACAACTAAAACAACAGTAGAATTGATAAATATGACAATTTCTACTTTGGTGACAACTAATTGGTTAGATAATAAATATACAAAACTATTTGATGCACTAAACATGGTAATACAAATGCCCCATGCATTGATATATATAAGATATTGTTATGTTTAGATTACAATTTAATTTATTACTAATAATATTTTAAGAATTTGATAGATGTGTTTGTTTATTCAAATATAATTTATCATATTGGTGTTTGCATCAAACAGATATCATACTGGATCCAGCAATGGAGATATGGGATACATACTAATCAAGTTTTTTATTAAAATATATGTAATTGTAATTTCCAATGACCGGGTAGATCACTAGTTTGTATTAATTTAGTTCTATAGATACTTTGTATTGGAAATAACCGTCTCTTTGAAGTACGAATCAATACTGGGTGATTTTAGTCTTGATTAATTAATATTTACACTCTCTGGCTATTTATGTATTTATTCTTAATTAAGAAATTGGGGTGATAGTAAATACTCAGGTAAATCGAAGATGCAAGACAATCTACAAAGACTATATGCAAGGTTAAACACATTCCACAGCACACTTACTGAGAATTTACCAGTAGGTATAAGTATGATCGTGAAATAAATCTACATAATCATATTGTATCCACGATATGTAATGATAGCATTCGACAATTACTGTCGCACAGCATATAATTTTGTAGTGTTGACTATTGTTACAATATTATACTATTACTACAAACTATTTATATATTATTATTATACTATATATTATACTATTATTACTATTACTACAAACTAGTAGAAGCAAAATGTATATAGTTAGGTACATGAATGAGCTTTAAATATTTTGTCTAATAGTAAACTTCAACCTTTTATGAAAATTAATGAAAGGGACGTCTACAGTAATCGATAGAATACAAAACCATCTATGATCCGTAATTAAGAATGAAAAATTAATCTTAAAATTCTCTTTGATCAGAAATTGAGCGATCATTTTCCTACAAGACAGATGAGAAAAAAATACCTTTTGTAAACATACTTTACTGTCAGCTAGTTCAATGTCTCTTCTGACAGTTGGTACTATAATTTAATTTGCGATAAAATATATATAATGAATAACAGTTAATATTAATTTAAAATGATTTTATCGTAACTGTTGTTAATATTTCAAATTAGATTTCTATAAATTGCAATGAGAAGGCAGACGGTGCTAAGACCTTGTCTAAATAATGTGGCGAGTATTTTAAGACCGTTCTGTTATTATAAGTATATACTGAAATCTTGGGAATGAAAGATAAATCAAGAAACTTTGAAGGCAGTAACATTCAATTAATGTTACATTAACATTTCATGATCTTTATTACTCTTAAAGGAAACTGTACCTAACTATAACATTATAATATCTAAAGTTTCTGAAATAATCAATCAATACTTAGTCTAACCTAATTTTTTGACCTATTCATCTTAAACAATGTTGCCATGAACATAAGATTTTTTTACATTAAAAATAGTATACAGTTTGGTAAAAGACCTGTTCTCGTGGTCCTCAGTTTCCACAACATTATCATTGGCGCTGGTGACAGTGGATGTTGCTGCATTCCCATCCCGAATCCTTGTGCTTGTTGCTTTAAGTGCTGCGCGCAATTATGCCTTAGGCTTCTGTGCTGCGTGTTGATCTTTGCCATAATCATTGCCGTATTATTTCTCCTCGCTGAAGCAATTTTCGGTAAGTTTTTTAACTGCAGTTTTAATAATCTATTTATTTTATCAATATTCTTCATTGGTATCAAAATCATTAATTAGATCATGACAAAGAACAATACTTTGGTCGTTTAAAAATCCCTTTGTTTTATTGTTTTTATCCAGTCCACTGTCTTCAGAAGATATCTGGACATGAAATGTGTATTTGTACATAAAGTTTAAACTACTATTTGACGCACATGTATGAGAAACTAATTCTGTCGTCTTGTGATAATTTATTGGAATTATTCAGTTCTAAAAATTTTATCTACCGAGCCATTTCTTGTAGTTTCTAAATTTATTTTCCTGTACAATTATTATTTTGCTATCCTGAGGTGAAGTACATGGAAGAGTACATGGAAATAAAGACTCAATGATGGACTTAAAAATATTAAACTCTTGACATTGCAACCAATTTATTGTAGCTTCATCAGACGAGGAACATATATTTTTGCAGATCCGGATGAAGCAACGAATGAAGACAATGGAAAAAAAATTGGACCAGGAAATAGATCTGAAAACAAATCAGAGGAAATCACTAATTACCTTAAGCGAGGTCAGACTAAAGATGATGTACGAATATCAAATATTAAAAATCGACGCGGGAATGACTATGGTGAGTCCTATCAACAAATGTCAAATATGTCAATAACACTTAAAGTAGCTTATAATGAAATATAGATGTAATTGAACAAATAAAATTTTAGAATATGTAATTGAATTCAATTGGTGATGTGGTAGGCGTGATATCTTTTATTTTGCAGTCATCATACAGTCATATTTCGTTTCTATATGAAATACTACGTGTGTCGTGTATACTATCGTATCAACGCTCTTGACTACGCTTTTCAATTGCTAAAATGTGTTAGCTAATGGTTGAGCTATTAAATCGTTAAAAGGTGTTAAATTTCTAATGTTAGAAGTATCTAAGATTTTAATTACCTTATTCTAGCTGGCGAAACGTCTATGTGAGTTCGGATGCCTTGAGCACCGCTGCCCAGGTCTTCTTCTGCATAGTACTATGTGTGATTGGCATAATTGTTATAATATTTTTGCTTGCTTCGGATATTATTTGTAAGTATTGTTTTATCAACACTGCCTTATGTGAAACGTCCTTCTGTATTTATCCTTATACTTAAGATAAGGATACAATTGTTATCAACAGATCTATATTGCAAATAATTATTATAAAATATCAAGGACCAAGTACTTATATATGTGCAACAATTATAATGTCGCATTGACTGTAGATTTTATTTTTGTGAATTTGTTAAAATTTGTAAACGAAATTTCATAAATATTAAAGAAAAGATATGTTATAAAATTCTCTGAAAGTGAATGCCAGATTCATTTTAGAAGAATTTTGTAATATACAAGTGTCAGGGTTATATGTACGCTTTAGGAATTTTGGGATCACAGTTTCAAGTATTCTAGCATAAATATTGTTGTCAGACGACTGCAAAAAAATATATTACATTTTTAGCAAAATATATATATTTACTTCGATTATATATTTTTTTTACTATATAAGTATTTTTAGTATAGTATTTTGATTTTGAAATAAGCATGAAATAAACTCGGAAACGTCCATATTTGTGTATTTATGTTACGTAATATTATCTTATCTGTGGTTTATTTGTTATTTATTTTTGTCTTCAGGAATATGACTGGATTAATAGAACTGAAAGAAAAAGATATGTGCAATACAAATTATGTGTATATACCAACTGGAGACATATTGGAAATAAGATATAATTTTGTTTTTTTATGCTATTGTTCAATATATTGTATTACGTTGGACAATTTTAGTGCTTTTATAATAAAAAGTATTATGCAACAGAGTTCTCAATGTATATTTCATTTAAAGTCTCATTAACCTATCAGGATATTATTGTAATAATCTGCAATATATATATTTATATATAATTCTTAAGAGAGATAGATAGAGATATTTATAAATACTAGATATTTATTTTATTTTGTTATATTTATTACCATTAGATCTATCTCACTTTTACTGTTTTAAATTTCAAAAACTTGCTGTTGATGCAGGTGAAACAGAGCTACCCATACTATTTTGAGCAAGTTATATCTATAATTTTCCGTTTACATATAGTAAGTAATTTAGTAAGTTATCTATATAAAGACAAAGTTAACCTGTATGAATATTATGGAGAGAAATTGTGAGTTTTGTTTTGTTGAGAAATTTCTGTACGTCCAAAATTACTTATTCAATTTTCATACATAAAACTCTCAAAATTATGAGCATCACTGTCACTGATATATTACATTCTTAATTTAATGGGTATTCGGATATACTAATGTAAATCAATTGAGAATTTTAATAAAATGCATAGTCTAAAACTTAAAATTAAATACCTACCTTCTTACTTTGTTACTTAGCCAAGAAACTTAAGCAAGCTAAAGTTCGTAGGTAGCGAATAATAAAATCATGGTTTCCATCTACGTAAAAGTTTTTTTATATATCCTACATATTTTGGTATCTTAGAGACGTTTCTTTGGTCATTATTTTAAGTATAAGTGTATGATTTATGAATGTACCAGAATATACCAATTTAGCTATTTATCTTTATATATATATCTATCATTTTTATAAGAATTATTTTGGTTAACTGAGAAATGGTCCGAACATTAGGCTGAATAGTCAAGAAACCTTTGCCTGGCTATAATGGCAAATGGAAAAAACAACAACAAAGAAATGGAATGAGTAATGAGTTACACTTAAAATTAAAGTACTTAATACCTATTGTTCTTAGGCATTTTATTATTTGTGCACAACCTGATTTTTATGACATTTCATCATTAATTCGGGCCTGTCATTCAAATTGAGTGATATTTAAAATACATTTACTTTATTTTCTTAGATTTTCTTGTTTTTATCACTGTTAAAAAATATTTACGTACCTAATAAAAACATAAATACCTATTTATGTTTTCATTTATGAACAAATTGGATAGAATACATTAATATGTACTTAAATAGAAATTATTTAAGAAACATAGAATGTTACTGAAGGTTCTATAATGTGGTAATATATACATAAATTTCATTTTATTATGTATTATAGTTCAGTAGAATAAGCCTCGATTAAAATATGTATTACTTTGACAGTCGAATCCAAGAGACCTGATGGTAGGAATCAGACAATGAAAACAAGAAAAGGAATTTAAAAAATTAAATAAATCCTTACAAAAGAAATCTGAAAAGCTGATGACCTTGAGACGCCTGCACAGATCATTATAACCAGCCGGTTATAATGATCTGTTTCATCGTAGATTCTAAATAAAAAGCCATTCCTTTAGAATCTACGATACTACAGAACGGACAAATACTTTTTTGTATCGAAGGTTAAAAAATAACTAAATACTGTTGTGGTGGTAATAATTATTAACGTTTTATTGTTACAGTTGTTGTTTATTCAATTTAAGCAAATTACTATGTTTTATGATTCCACTACTTATTGCTGTCGTTATTGGAGTAATATTATATAACTTATTGAAACAAAATGTCGATGGAATACCATGAAAACTTCATTATATTTCAAGGTAATTATTTCACACAGAACGAGAGATAGTAAGAACGGTCGTTAAATAAACCTATGCCTAATGATTAAACTTCAATCTTTAAAAGTAGTGGCTGCAAGAATTTGGTAGTTTTGATTTCTAATTTCTTATATCTCTACGTGCAGATTTTTGCTTTAATCAGAAAATATATTCGAAAGGGAGTGCCCAGTGCAGCTTTAGTGTTTAGCACTAAAGCTGCACTGCAAAAAAATTCATTACTATAGTAATGATTTTTTTTGTATCTGGTAGTATAACTAACTAGTTGACGGCCAATGTGGTAAATGGTAACCGTCGCCTATAAACACAACCACAATCAAGGATATGACGTCATCGTGTGATAGTGTTAGCGTTGCCATTTCGTATGATTAAGATGTTATACTTGTATACCTTGTACTTATCTTAACTGCTATATCTCACCTTACACCATTTTAGTTAGTTAGGAAGCCGATATAGGTAAGACAGACGTACACATGCTAACGACTCTGTACAAAGTGTACCTCAATTATATTACGAAGTTGTTACTTGTAATTGCATCCTGTATAATACGTAGCTCCAAAGAAATTGCCGACAGTATCAATAGACTAATTAAACTAATTAGGTATACTTTTGTGCAATATCGATGCATCATATTACAAGTAGGACACCACTAAGCAGGCTATATAGGTATAGACAAACCGCGCAGATTTCGCATGATAACAGCTCAATTGTAAGTAAGTTTAATAAATTATAATATTAATTCTCTTCTACAAACCAACTAATAAATTTAGTTACGAAGAATTTTTGTATTATTATTGTATTCATTTTTTTCCTTTGATTGTCATACACCTAATTAGAGTGAATAAAACGCTTATTGCTAAAAGTGCGATAATAATTATATAACATATTTCAAAATATTATTATTAGAAAAAAACATTAATAATTTTGGAATTATTAATCTACGAAAGAAAAATTTGTGACTATATATAAAAAAATTATATGACCAAAATAAATTATCTCTCTTCAGAATAACTCGAGCTTAAAATATTTAAATATTTTTAATATCCTATACGTTTTTCAATATTTTTAATTTGACTTAACTCCCAAAAGCCAATTGATTTTACGATTACAAGTACACTAGTAGGTATGCGTACTACTATTAAAGTTGTAAAAATGTATATATAAAACGAACTTAATATAATACGTAGCGTTGTTCACTTTTCACGACTTACATCTTTATGCACATGTAATTACGGTTGTACATGTTAAATGAATTATTTTATTCTTAATGTAAACTTAGATATCTAAATGCAAAGACCAAAGCAAAATATACAAAATGGGGATTGGATTCCGATTTATTTGGTTTCGTTTCAGGCAGTTTTTAAGTTATTGTAACTTTAATGTTCTAAAATTCTTATGTCTCTTTAAATATTATACATTTATTATTTTTGTAAAAGATTAAATACCATATAATAAAAAAAATATATGATTTCCGTAGTCTTTTATCTTCCTAATTTTTCTATTACATAATTTTTAATAGTGAACTTTTTTGTTTGATTTTATTTCATAAACTGCCTACAGTTGATGTACATATTGCAATAAATCTTTGTTAACTCATTGTTCGCATTGGCGTAATCTAATAATATCTTCTAATACATAAAAATCAATATTTGTTCGTATGTATTTTATGCGCTGCCCTACAGTTCATCCCATTGCAATAAAACTTTGTCAATATATTGTTCGCAGTATCTCAAAGGTTATTGGTACAGTACAATTACAGTAGGATATTTATTTATCAAGTCGATTGTACCGAGATATTTTTCTCGCTACAGTTAATTGTTATATCATAGAAATAATGAATTATAATATATTATTACATATAGATCCATTACACTGTGGTACATTGAATATGACGGGGATTGTATAAGTACCCCCGTCATATTGATATACAAATGTATATATAAACTATTATAAACCTTCCCAGCGAAATTTCCACAGTAATAGAAGTAACACTGAAAACTTTATCATAATCCTGTGCGTGGATTTAGAGAAGTAAGCGGAGATAATGAAAATAGAGAATTGGCTTAACATTATTTACCAGATATATATTTAGAGATTCATAGATGAGTCTGCAGTTTCATATTAAATTTTGAGGCTATATGTTATTCTGATGTGTAATTATCTTATATATAAAATTCTCGTGTCACAGTTTTCGTTTCCATACTCCTCCGAAACGGCTTGACCGATTCTCATGAAATTTTGTGAGCGTATTGAGTAGGTCTGAGAATCGGCCAACATCTATTTTTCATCCCCCTAAATGTTAGGGGTAGTCCACCCCTAATTATTTTTTCATTTTAAGGCAAAACAGACAGCTAGTATTATTATAAAATTTCATTAAAATCCGTTTAGTAGTTTTTGCGTGAAAGAGTAGCAAACATCCATCCATACTCACAAACTTTCGCATTTATAATATTATTAAGATAAGTATTTTAAACATATTTATTTCCAGTTATAAATATAAACATGTCACCTGTATGTTTGTACATTGTGTGCTATAAACGGAACGGAGGCGGAAAATTGGATTTTCTTGTAGCAGAAAATAATGACAAAGAAGTTTCAAACAACGATTTCGTCGCCGGAGAGGCATCCGCTAACGGCCAGCCCACGTTATTACTCGTCGGTCACAGTGTTACGTTTACCACACGGCCTGACCTTCGAATGGTCACGGGTTCGATTCCTATACATTACAGTGTGTTTATAAGCACAACGACAGGGAATATGAAAAAAAATCTGCAAACGTGTAACCTTACGTTCATAGGATTATTGTAGTACAACAACAGTTATTTTCCACTAAAAATATATTCAAGAGAAGAGTTTAAATATTTTTGTGCAATTTTGTAAGTGCATTAATATTTGTATATCTTTTATATATATATACCTATATTTCTTTGATGTATGTATTGTATATTTTTTTATTATTAAGTACATATTTGGAATCATATTTTATTTGTCGTATATATTTATGGAAATAAATAAATTACGGAAAAGGTATTCAAAAAATCAACATTGAACCTTTCGCGCTAACAAACCGCTCTGTCATGTGATTGAATTATATGAAACGTTCAAAAACATATTTTCATATATCGACATACTTTGTGTGGGATAAATTTTATGAATTCTTTCACAAGGTTTCAGGTTGTTATTCCATTTCGCTACACGTTTTGTAATGTAACACGCTTTAGTAGTTGGTACTTGGGGATGCAATGTAATAAAACCTGAAATAAAATTGTCTCACATTGTTATTAATGTGTCGTTGGTTGTATCGCGACATTGTCGACATTTGGAAGTGAAGAATTTATTGTTTAAAGTTTACACAACACACACAGGCACATAGTCGACAGTTACATGACATCGTCATATAGCATTGTTTTGTACGAGAAATTAAATTTGAGGCACTTAAAGCTTCTTAAAAATACAGTAAATGGATATAAAAAAAACCTTACTCACTCATAGTAGTGTATGTAGTGTTTTTGTGATAGCCATATACAAATCATATTTTTTTTATAATCTTTTTTAATAATTTAATAAAATAATCAACTTCTATCTTGAACAAATTAGTATATGAATAAAACAAATTCTTAAACTCGGAATAGTAAAATTAAATAATAAAAGTCGATTCTGAATGGGCGGAAATGCGTACACAAAATCTATCTAATTCTATCTAATAGAAAAATTCTACATTTTGAAGTTTCTACGTTCTTTATTTCTATTTCGATACTTAAATAGAAAGAAAGAAAATGTATTCCTATTTGACAAGACGCATATTATAACAAACAGGAATTGCCTGAAGGTATTAGTGGTGGTTGACAAAATGAGAATAAAGTCAGTTCAGCCTATCATGATGATTTATACCATGATAGTTTCCAAAATGTACTATGTTATGGTTAAACTGAAATTTACCGTGCATTCCTAGCAAGGTCAATAGTACCCTCTACCCTGGTAACAGAGTACCTATATCCAACCACTACACTTGGTAGTGCTTTGTGCTGTAAGTAGTTCATTATATATATATATATAGGTAACATAATATAATTACTTGACATAAACTCGAGATTTATGATACGTTCAGTAATGCCAACCGTATGAAGACATTTGAATAGTTAAGAGATTTTTGGTGTTCCGTACAAAGTACGAGATTACTAACATCCTCGTAAATTGTAACCTGTACGACGTTGTAGAACCATATTGAGTCAAAATACGACATTTTTGACCTCCTTTGAACGAAGGTATAAGTTTTTATGTTGGCAACCCTAGTTCTGTTCAATTCCAAGTAACTATTATTAGCGTCTGTCCAAATGACTACGAATCCGATGTTACTAAACGTAATTGCTGAAGAATTTTCTGAAATCGCTGTAATTCCAATCAAAGTTCTTCGGACAAAAATACGGACTAATTTCTCTTGAGAGAAAATCTCGGTTGCCCCTTGGGATTGTCCCATTCCGATGGCCTCAGCTATAAATATTCAGTTCCTTTCAATGGTCTGTATTAGTCGACATGCTTTTAGATGACATGAAATGACACTTTCAAAGCCTATGTATAAAGTAGAAACATACTTACTTCTTACAATTACAAAGTTATTGTTACGATATTAGTTGTTCTATACAAACTTGTCTGAGTCTAAACTGAAAGTAAACTTAAAGGAATCTTGTTTATTTAGAACCTTCGCCTGAATATTTTATATTAGCAAAAACACGATTCAGTGAAATCAGAAGTAATAAAAATAGGGTTTTATAAGGAAACTTAATTTACAAAGAAATTACAGGTTAAGGCGCGAGATATTTTAGTACTTCAGAAGGCAATGCATGAATCACATGATAACGAGATGTCTGTAGCATTGTTCATGTATGTAGGCAACAGTTACGACTTACCATGTTTGCCATTTAATTAACAAAAGAAAATCGACGTTATAGTAACAAAATTAATACGTTATATTATACACATGTAAA